CCTCCGAGGATGGCGGGAATTTAGTTACTATAAGGAAGACCAGAGAGAATGGATACTGGGGACAATTTTCAGTCTCTGATGAAAGGTGTCACCCGATCTGCACCGCACCCCTTCGTTCTCCCTGACCTTGATTGAGCACCTCCTACCTTGATGGAGCTTCCTACCGCTCCTTCTTACTTGCTGTTCTCCGACCCCTGTGGCCTCTGTGCTCCCCTGGCAGCCACACACTCGCATCTGAGGTTGCTGCTGCTCCTGCTTTGGGAGCTCCTCTCCCACCCAGACAGCCACTTGGGCTTGTTTCTCACTTTATTCAGGTTTCAACTCAAAGGTTACTCCTCAGAGAGGCCAGCCCTGACTACCTGTCTACCAGGTAACCCCGCCCCACCTGCCCCTTCCCTCTGTCTCCCCTGACGCTGCTTTTTCTGCCCATGTCACTCAGTGCTCCTGGTGGAGTACTGCATATGTATTTGCTCCTCTATGTGTCCCTGCCGCAGGGAAGCAAGAGTGGTGAGGGGATCAACTGCCTTCTTCTCTGTTAAAACCTGGAACAGCGCCTGGCGCAGAGGAGGTGCTCCAATATTTCTGAACAAGTGCAAGTGCATGCTCCATGTTTGGTAGACACTGCCAGATTGCCCTTCAAATAGATCTGTCCTTTGGTTTGCACGCTCGACCCTTGTTGATTTGGAATGTTTTCTTTGAGTTTCTTCTGGCTGGTATGGTTGCAAATAGGCCCTTATTCTTCTGCCTTGTGGGCGCAGCTTCAACTCCCCACGCCCTTGGGGCCACACTTCCCAGCTGGAGTGTGAGCCAGAGGAAACCACGGGGGTGGTAGGGACTTTTCCGAAGTAGGCAACACCATTTCTCCAAGGACCGTGTGTAATAGCCACGCCCATTTAATGTAATAGCCCAATCAAGGCAGAGGTGCTGACTCATCTGATTGAGCCCCAGAAACGTCACCCCCTATCTAATTATCTTGACCTACAAGATTCTTAGTGGCTCAGAACTGCCTTATCAGCTCCAGCTGATCTAAGAAAATAAACATTTCATAACTGAAAATATAAGCAACTGCAGACACAGAACAGCTCAGCCCCGATGCATGGTTCTCATAAATAACCCAGGCCGTGGTGCGCTGCAGAAATAACTAGAATTGCTGTGACTTCAAGGGGAGCCAAATGGAAGTGCCTGTGCTGAGTGAATGCTAAAGTCGCCCCCTAGTCAAAACGTGGGCAGGGGCCAGTTGAGCCAAAACGCCTCGCTCCGACCGGAGCCCCTTCTCACGGAGGGCCCAGTTAACACGCGCCCTCGAGCTGCGTCTCTCTGCTCAGACTTTAGGGAAAGGGGACACGCTACAACTGAATGAGCTCGTCTGAAGAGTCTGGTTAAAACCTAGCAGACGAGACGCCAGCAGCCGGCAGCCTGCCTGGAATCGGGACTCTGCGGCTTCTGAGTTCTGCACCGAAGACCCATGTCATCCGGGTGCACAGCGGCCTGCGGCCCGGCCCGGCCCCTGTGATTCAAAACGGGCCAGGCGCTGGGCCACGAGACAGAGATTTTCAGCATCACTGGTTAAAATTAAAACAGTTTCCTGGTAACTAGAAAAGGCCAGTTATCAGAAGAACCTCATTTCCTCAGCATTTTGATTTTTGAGATTTTTATAGTGATAAGAGGAAAGCAAAATTATTTTTCAAGGGAGTGTGCTGTCGTCATTTCTCTGGGAAATTTATCTCCTAAGACAAGTCATCCGTGTGGTCCTCTCTGGATGGACAGAAGGGCAGCCCAGACAAAGTCAGGGGAGGTTCGTCTTTGCCCACTGGCTCAGTTCAAGGGCAACTCACCCGTCGGCCAGGGGAGGGGCTACCCTTCAGCCAGCTTGGGCAAAAGAGGTCATTTGATTCAGACTGTGCCTATAAATTCCCCCAGAGCATAGGTGGAGATTTCCCTTACTCCCCAGTCCAAAGCCTCTCAGCAACCAGCTTGGCGGTCTGCATCGCAGGAGCCCACGGAAAGGACTGGATGCCCCGGGAGGCTAGGCCAGCTCGAGAGGCGCAGGAAGGCTCCAGGGCTGTGCCAGAAACAGCGGCCCCCGCAGGGTGGGGACCTGTGGGAAACCATGGGTTGTGGCTGGTTGGCCCCAGCTACACAGTCCCATCAAGGCCCCTTCCTGGGTTTTCCAGAGGTTCTAGCATTTTCTGCACCAGGTGGGGATCATAATGCTGTGGTTTCCTGGGATGAGCGCCCTCCTCTGTGTTCACAGGTGGGATCAGACCTTGCTAAGCCCAGGCCCTCAGGGCACCCAGAGAAAATCTTTTTCACGGGGTGTGGTTGGAAATGATTTCTCCTGCACAGAGGCCCACCGAGCTTTCCAAGGCCACAGACCTAAAAATGTTTCAGACACCGTGGAAGCCAAAGAAACTTTTCCAGTGTGCCGCGGCTGCGAGTGTTCCTACAGCTTGTGGTCCAGAGATTCTCCTCTTTCGTTCTTTCCCCTTTCTGTTCCCTCCCATCGGGGCAGCCTGGTTGTGCCTGGAAGCTTCCGTCCAGGTGGGAGAGTTTAGAGGGAGGGGAGGAAACCACCTCCACCAGCAGGGGACTTCAAGCAGAGCAGCCCTGTCCCAGAGTCCTGCAGATCTCTGGGGACCAAATGGCTTTTTAAGTTTTGTTTACTTATGCCTTAGTTATACAGCGCCCAGGACCCATCCCCACCCTAAGACTTGTACCCACACTGTTGGGGGACCTGCTAGGAGAGGACCCAAGAGGAGCATGGGGTGATGCTTGGAGTCTGGCCGTCCTGTCTCCGGCTGACCCGGACGTCTGTCCTGCGAGGCCCCTCCCACTGGCCTGCCACAGCCCTCCCTGCGTCGGAACCCCGGAGCAGGTGGCGTAAACGGTAGACTGCCCCCCTCCCCACAGTTCAAGGGCAAATGTAGCAAAGGCTCTAGGGCTGTGCTGAACAATCCAGTCGCCCCACGTGGAAAATGAGCACTTACGATGTAGGTAGTGCAGGTCGAGATGCACCGTACGTAGAAGATACACACCGGATTTTGAATATTCGGCTTAAAAAGAGGACATAAAGTCTCATGAATAATGCCTTTCGTGCTTCCATTTTGAAGTGATACTATTTTTAATATATTGGGTTAAGTAAAATATATTAAAATTTAGCTCGCCTGTTTCTGTGTTACTTTTATGCATGTGGCTTCTAGAAAACGTGAAACGACCCCCGTGGTCTGCAGGACGTTGCCCTAGGACAGCGCTGCTCTAGGAACTCGGATCTCCAGTGTGGGCGGAGGGTCCGGAAAGTTGCTGAAGGGGAGAGCGGAGCGGAGATGAGGTCAAGGGAGGCTTTCATCAGAGAGGGGCGAGGAGGGCTTCTTGCTTTGGGAGAAACTGGAACTCACCCGCAGCCCAGCTGGGCCGGGGCAGCAAGGCCAACCGGCTTTTATCAGGTGCCTGTTTCAGATGAGGTCCGCTCCAGCCAGCCTCTCCGTCTGCCAAGGCACATCGGGGCCAGGAACTGGGAAGCTGTGATGTGATCTGTCTCCAAGCCCTTCAGCCCTCCAGGAGAGGGACCTGCGTTTGTTCTGCAAGTCACTGGTGCCGACAGCGGCCAACACAGAGGCATTTTTGTATCTGAGCAAAAAACCCACTAGTAACAGCTGCCGCTTCAATGCCGTGGAGCTATCCAAAGCGCTTACTGTCTATTCAGTGTTCTCAAAAATCCCATTGAGTCGGTTTAATTACAGCTTGCATTTCACAAATAAGGGAGCAGAGTTCCCCAGGAATCACAGCCAACAGAAAGTCGCCCTGGTGAGACAGGATATCAGGATTTGCCCCACATCCCTGTGTCTGCCCCCCGACCCGCCATGCTCCACCTTGCCCCAACCTCCGCTTGGCACTGGGGCCCCACACCAGCTGCTGGCCGGGCCCACTCCACAGCTGGCTGCTGGCTGGGGCAGGCTTTCCTGGAGTCTGTTGGCTGCTCTTAACCTAACAGGCACAGCCCTGTGCCTCGGGCTGTGGGGTGGAGGAGACACACCCAGCAGCGGCTCTCCAAAGCTCTTTGCGGGCTGCGGTGCCCAGGGCCCTGCACTGGGTCCCTTCTGTCAGTCTCAGGCCGTCCCTCGGGGTCTGAGCCTGGGGTCAGCTGGGCTAGTGGGGCCTTTGCCTTCAGTGCAGTCCCCTTGTTTTCTGTTTCATCCTGGCAGCTCCCATCTGTTATTTGGATCTTATAAATAGCCGCAGCTAGGGTGTGACTCGGGTGGAGACCTGGAGACTGTACTCCACCCTGCAGGGGAAAAAAGGCTTCTTTAATTCATTTCTTCTCTTGGAAGCCTCTAGCTGTTTAGAATGCCAGTTAGGCAGCAGCTGCTGGGGTTTTTCCTTTCCCATCCCAAGATGGCCTGTCTGATTTTCTGAGCCTGTTGACTTAAGCTCTTACAGGAGGTTGGGTGGGGCGGGCGTGGCAGGACCACAGCCACCCTGAACTGGGCTGGCTGCTGCTCTGCTGGAGCCTGTGGGTGGGAATGGGCGAGGTTCCACCCAAGGGCCCAACCCTGCCCTCTGTCTTCCCAGACGCAGGAGTTTAAGGTAAGAGGAAAGCTGGTTCCGGGCCAGAGGGGAGTCCAGCTGGCCAGTGCCAGAGGAAGCCCCCAAACTAGTGCCCGAACAGATGCCCCGGAAGCGGTCCTCAGCCTCTGGGCTTCTGCAGAGCTCGGGTCTGCGCCCCGTGCCCCTGGCACCTATCCGTGCTGCCTTAGAGCCTGAGTCTGCTCTGAGGTGCTGTGTCCTTGTCGGTGCAGCAAGGGTCACAGTGCCCGCCCAGGGCTCCAGGGAGGGTGGTGCCGGGCACAGCACCTGGCATCCCGGGAGGGTGCACTGATGCCAGCTTTCACCAGCTTCCTTTTTAGGGTGAGGCTCAAAGTCAGAAAACACTCAAAGAGCAGTTCCTGCAGGCTTGAAAGCAACTCGTAGGAAGACACAAGCAAATTAGAGAGCTTCCGGTTTTATCAGCTAAAGAGTAATATCTAAAGCGGGTTTTAAAAACACAAAGCATTATATAATAAAACGTAAAATGCATACTCATACATACTTTTTAAAAAGCATTAACAAGATAAAATGACCACACTAAAGCCCAGTGGGTTCGTCAGCAGACAAAGGTGAGGAACACCCGAACACTCTCCCTCCAGGGTCATCATTGGCATTAAAGCTCCTTGATGTGTGGTCTTGAGCTCCTTTTCCTGTGTATATCAGTGTGTGGTGTGTGTGTGCTGTGTGGCGTGTGTGTGTCTGGGCCAGCAGGGGCCGAGGCCCCACCTCAGTTAGTGAGAGGGGCAAAGGCTCTTCGGGTTTCTGGGCCTATGCCCAGGGTTCGTGCACCTGATGGGGGAGAGATGGAAATGGGGTGTGAGGGGCCCTGCAGAGGGAACAGGGTGACAGGGAAGGGGTGCCGTGGCCTCTGGCCTCCACCTGCCTTGGGACTGGGCTTGAGTTTCCTCCGAGGAGAGGGCTAAGAGCCACAGTCGAAAGGAGCCGTCTGCGTGACAGACTGTGAGCCTGGACACAGGCAACTCTGCCTTAGCGCCTCAGCGACAAGCTGTGGCTCAGAGCCTGGGGACAGCCTCGGCACTGTCAGCCGTGGTGACAGGGGCATTCTTTAAGGGCATGTGTTTGGTGCACTCCCCCAGTGATGGCTCACTGCAGAGAAAGCCCGTGGAGAGTGCTGTGCGTTTCCAGCGGCCAGGACGGGGACAGCCTCCTGGGTTTGCTCAGAAACGGCGGGAAGACTTTAAAAAGGGGGCTCAGGTCCTGCCGTTCAGCAAGGGAAGCTCAGCGTCACTGGAATTTGGGCATGAAAGTGAACATGATGTCGTTATTAAACAAATACTGAGTCATCTGCTTGCGTCACTTCCTAAGTAGGATGAACCACATTAATTTTAAATTAAATCCACCGAGCGCAACCCAGCATCTCAGAACCCTTGCAAGAAGGCAGGGTGTGGAGCGGCGCCCCAGTGGTCTTCAGGCTCCCTCAGCCGCGAGACACCCGGGGTGTTCGTGGAGGGCCGGCTGCCTCTCACTCCTCAGAATGCCACCCTCACCCGGCAGGGCAGGACGGAGAAGGAGAATAAACAGGAGGCCCGCCCACAGCGGCATTTTACATCTAATTTGATACCCAGCTGAGCCGACAATCTGAACTTAGCGCATCCCAAGTTGCAGAAGTGGGCCCAGTCTCTCGGCACCCAGAGCCCCAGCTCTGCCTCCTTTGGGAGCTGGGAGCTGACAGCCTGAGGACTTCAGGTGTGTGCCAGGTCCCGGGGAGAAGCGCACCTTCTCGTGGAAAGCAAAGGCCACAGTCTGGACTCCATCCTCATCCACCTGTCCAGAGTTTCCGTGCCACCGAGGAGGAGGATCAAATTAGAGAGGACTCCACACTCTCCAGGGGACAAAGCTGTCTTGCAGGGCACCTTGGGGGGGTCCAGTTGCACCTCACGTCCCTCCGAACATGGTGTGTGAGAGCAATGCTCCCGAGAGAGTGTCTGATGGGAGGATATTATGGGCTGGGAGGTGCTGTGGGGACCCCTTTCTTTAGATAGGTCCTTGCCTTGGAACTTCCTTGGCCTTGAAAGTTTTCAAGTGTCCAACCTCTTGTTCTCTCTGGATGGGCCTTCCTCCCCCAACTAGAGAAAGTCTCACCGTTTCCCCAGAACCTTTGATTTCCTCTTCTTCATTCCAGGAATCTTCATGATCACACGTCAAGATGTTCTGTCCTCAGGCATCAGTGCCACTTTCAGAGAGACAGCATTTAAAAACCGAAGACAGAGCCGAGCATGGAATAGCTGTAGATATAGACAATTGATTTCATTCATTCATCCATCCATTCATTCATTCATTCATTCATTTTCCTTCACTGAGCACCAGAGAAATGCTTCTGGGAACGACTATCTCCACTGCTACCACCTTGTTCAAGCCCCACCCCCGTTCTCTCTGGATTGAACCAGTGCAATAGCTTCTTAATGTTCTATTTGTTTCCATTTTTTCCTTTTTCCATTCTCATCAAGGTGATCTTAAAACACACACACACACACACACACACACACCCCAAATGTGATCTTTGTTCTCCCCGCTCCCACTGAAAGTCACCGACCTGCTCTCCCCTCCATTCGTTTGCTCGTGGGGTGAACATGAAACCTTTCAAGGTCCTGCCGGGAGTGGCTGGACCTCCCGCCTCAGCCCCTCCTCCCTTTCGTGCCGCAGTGACACTGGCTGTCCCTCAGGTCCCCCAGCGCGTACATGTCCTCTTCTCCCTCCTTCAGATCTTTGCGTGGACTGTCTCCGTCCTTCCCCTCATTACCTAAAAGTAACATCTTTACCCCCGATCTCAGCTCAAACATCACTTCTGCACCTTTCACAGCCTCCAGGTCTGACCGATGTCCCTGCAACATGCTCTCTCACCGTGGCAACTTCCGTTCACACCATAAATCGGAGGGAGTGCTTGCACAGCTCTCTGAGGGACCACTTGCTCAGTGTCGCTCTCCCCAGGGGATTATAGATTGCACAGGAATGGGGCCTCTGCCTGTACACTTACCATCATGTTCTCCGCGCCTGGCCCAGAGCCTGAGACAAAAGTGCTCAATAAACATTTGTCGAACATTTGAATAGCGTGGCTCCCAGGAGTTCACCAGCACCTGGGGGAGAAGAAGATCTCTCCTTAGTCCCCAAAGCCCTCTTCAAATGTCGTCCTCGTTGTGAGGTTTCCCTGTCTAATTCCCCTTTCTCCTCGCTACCCCGGGATGAATAAACCCCTTCCAGCACATGCCCCCAGCGCACCCTGTGTTCCCTAGGAACCCCTGTTTGGCTTTTGGAAGAAGACGGGTCTGCCCTCATCCACACCGCAGAATGGGGCGGCTGCACCTGGATGCCAGCGTCCGTTTTCCAGGGCAGCCAGCACAGGGCACTGCCCACTGACCTCAAACAACAAAACGCATCTCTCACAGTTCTGGGGGCTCGAAATCTGAAATCAAGTTGTTGGCGGGGCTGTACAGCCTCCAAAACACATAGAGGAGAGTCCTTTCTTGCCTCTTCTGGCTTCTGGTGCTTTCTGGCAATGCTTGGTATTTCTCGGCTGGCAGATGCATGACTCCAGTCCCTGCCTCCATTGTCACATCGTCAGCTTTTTCTTTAAAGGTCACCAGTCATATTGGATTACGGGTTCACTCTACTCCAGGTGACCTCCTCTTAACTAATTATATCAGCAACTACCCAAACAAGGCCACCTTCTGAGCTAATGAGGATTATGACTTGAACAAATCTTTTTAGAGGACACAATTCAACCTACAGCCAGCATAATCAGTAACTCGAACTCAGGTCCCCAGCTGCCCTCAGTGTCTTCTCTCCGAACCCACTTACCCTCCTACAATCCTCTTCTTCATCAGTGGCCCCTCGGCCCATGTAAAGCAGGATAGAGAGTCATCCTATTGTCCCACCTCTTCCCTTTGTAATTAGTCATGGAGTGCTATTGGCTGTCTCTTCAACGTTTCCCGTGTTCATCCCCAATGACCCTGCCTTAGCTCCTTCATCATCTTTAACCCGGACAGTTGTGGGAATTGAACCGGTCTTTCCATCTTCTGTCTGAATGCCTCCCGATTCATCCTCCACGTTGCATCATGACAGTTGTACGTAAAACACAAACATGCCTGTCATACCATGTCTAAAACTCTTCAAAAGCTCTGCTGTGCGCATGCGGTGGCCCAAATGCCTATGCGTGGCACACAAGATTGTATCATCTTGCCCTTACTATCCTGATGCAACTTTTGAAACTGCCTCTCTGCACTCTCTTCTCCAATCGTTTTGAACTATTTCATGTCCTGAGCCTGGAAAATGATGCTATGCCTTGGAGCTTACAGTAGAGATATTTACTGCGCATGGAAGAGCCGTGTGTTCCTGTGTGTTTCACGACCCAGTGAGGCATGTGATGGGTTCTAGCCAATGTGCTGCGAATGGACCTTGTATCCATCACCTCTGTGCTGAGGTATTTAAGAGCCAGTGTATGCCTTTCAGCTTTTTGTTTCCTGCCATGCCAACTTGGAAGCCACCCATTCTGGATGGGACAGAGATAAGTGGGTATAGCCTCCACTAGCCTGGGTCTCCAAGAAACTGTGCAGAGCCGAGCCCTGCCCCCAATCCTTCCACCCACCCCGCAGCCAGCTGACCTGCACTTGACTTGTGGTTTGAGTGAAAAAAAAAATCCTTAGTTATATTAAGATACTAAGACTTAAGGTCCTTTTGTTACCTCAGCATAACTTGGTCTGCCCTGACTCACACAGTGCTTCTGTACAGGCTGTTCCCTCTGCCTGCCCGACACCAAGTTCCGCTGCCTGGGAGAGTCCTACTGACCCTTCCAGCCCCGTGGTTTTCACTCTATGAAACTGATCTGATCCACTACCGAGCAGAGTTCATTACTCCCTCCCGTGTCCCCACTGCACCTTGTGTGTAGTGCCGACATGGTCCTAGTCACCTGCCACCACAGTCATTTAATACCCAGTGAATGCGGAAGAGTAGACGGTAGGTGCCTGAGGGCAGGGACCGTGTGTCGTTCAGCTACGAAGTGTGTATCCCCAGCACCCCATGGGGTGATTGGCACAAAGAGGGCACCCAATCCAATAAATGATGGGCGAGGGAACTGACTGAGTATAATGTGTACAGGCTGCCGGTGGAGGGTGGTAGAAAAGGAGCACGAAAACCCTGTGTGGGCCTCTGTGGCTCAGACATGCGATGACAGAACATTGGAGCTTATGCAGAACACAGAGTAACAAGGGCCTGCATAGTGTGTATTACTGGGGTCGAGCAAGCGAGAGCGTTCTGGAAAATGAAGCTGCCACGTGTGCAGTCAGGAAGAGGGGTTTAAAAGGAAATCCAGAACTACTTCTAACTCACGAGAGAGTGTCTGAGTGTGGGGTTACAGGGTGTCCTGTTAGCAGAAGGAGATGCTTCGGGAAAAACTGTTGGACGGGTGTGACACAGACTGAGTGATGATCAGACAGAAATCACGGGTAAGGGCCACACTGGAAAAGCATCAAACAGGGGTTCTAAGTAAAATACAACGTTTTCTGTCTGTCTGTCTGTCTCCCTATCTATCATCTATCCTCCCTGAGAGCAGTGGAGGCAGGTCCAAGTTTTGTGGGGTCCCTCGCTGTCTCTTCAAATTTTATTTTATAGCAGCAGAATCCTCTACCCCCAGCGACGACTCGGGCAAGCCTATGGACTTCCTGTCATGTTCAGGCAATAAAAACTATCCTTTGAGTTGCCAAAAATAGCCTTACTTCAGATCTTAGCATTCCAAGATCTGAACCCAAGCAGTCCCAGGTAACAGTTAAAACTCTGCAACTGACTTAGCCTCAGACCTCCTCTCCTCCCTTGGCTCAGACCTGCCTCATGCTGGAAGCCTGCCCTGGGAAAGGGGCACGGTCCTGTTCCTCTCGTCTCCTCTGCTCACCTCCTCCCCTTGCTAGCTGCTGTTTTCCTCCGCGCCTGGAACGAAGCCCAGAAAGAGAGGTAAGGGAATAATATAGTTCTCACACGGCTGGGTGGCCTGAGCCCTTTGGGCCGGCAGCTGGCCTCTGTGGGGTGGCCTGGCAGATGATGAAAGCTGGCCCCATTACGGGCTCTGCCGAGACCTCCAGCTGGGCCCTGGTCTCCTGTGGTTCCCTTGACCTGGGGCTGAAGGTCTCTGTCCCTCTGGGTGGTCTCACGTGACTCCTTCCCCAGCTCTTGGGGTTCCAGAGGTGGAATGGCCAGTCCTTCCTGCTAAGGTCTTCTGTCCATGCCTATGGGCTCCAAGACCACCCCACGCTACCCCACACCTGCTCCCTTTCCCACGGGCCCACATCTGGTCTTGGAACACTCCCCTTGCTCTGCCACGAAAGTAGTATGCATCACTAACATTTAAATGTTACTTAACAAGCCCCGGGCAGATAGCTCAGTTGGTTGGAGTGTCGTCTCAATATACTAAGGTTGTAGGTTTGATTCCCGGTCAGGGCACCTACAAGAAGCAACTAATGAATGCATGAATAAGTGGAACAACAAATCAATGCCTCTCTCTCTCCCCCCTACCCTCATCTCTCCCTCTAAAATCAATAAATAAAAATAATGAAATAAATGTCTCTCACAGTGTTCCAGCACTGTCCTATGTACTTTATGTTTATTATCTCAGTTAATGCTCACACCACCTACAAGGTAGGTAAATCTGGTGGGCCATATCCACGGATGTTTATTTTAAAGCTTCTGTCTTAATTTCTGTTGTCACAATACACTGTAAGCACATTTCACTTGTCACTGATTTTTATTGCAGACACAGGCACTGAGAGATTGGGGCTTTGTTATTGCTCCTCACTATGGGGCTTAGGGCAAGTCAACAATATCTCCACAGTGAACTCACCAGCACCAAGATTCTTTCTTGCGCTAAAATTCTGTAGGTGTTTAGGATGGAAGGTGAAAAAGGCTAGTTAGGACCTAGGGCATGGACAAGCCCAGACGGTACAGATACAAGCACCCCTTAAAATTCTTGAGCATATTTAACCTTTGAAAAAATGATATTTAACATGCTTCACAATCTAGATCGTTATCATTGCTTCTTTTATAACCCTCATGAACAGTCTCAATAAAAAGAGTGGTTTCAGCACGTGGTTTTCAGGAACCTTAAAAACATTTGTCCCTCTGACTCATTAACCCCACTGCCAGAAAGAATTTCTAAAAAACAATCAGAAGCATGCACAAAGATTTGTGCATCAGAGAATACATCACAGTAGTTTTTATAGTAGTCAAAAGTAAGAACAACTCACTTTGTTCAATTTCTGTTCACATGACAAGGTCTCAAACTGAGCTAAAAAAAAAAGTAGTGCTCTGTCTCCTTCCCCTGCCTTGTTCCTGCCTTGATTTCTTACCTCTGTGAGCAAATCCAAAAGGCAATGGAGCAGAAAAAGGAGAGACTTTATTCAGGTAAACAGTTTGCAAACCAGGGAGACAGCCTCAGGCGAGAAACAGAGTGTGCTTCACCAAGACAAAGGGGACTGTTGTTTTTTTATACAGAAAGTTCCTGCTCAGGTTCCTTAATTAGATTCATCTTATGCAAATAAGGTATCAAAATTAGTACATCCCTGATTGGTCTGAATTTTGCAATTCTGATTGGTCAGTATTTCGCACCCTGATTTGTTGTTATGGTGCAATTCTGAACGGATGGGGCAGGTCTCAGTCCTTGGTTGAAAGGTGAAAGGAGGAACGCCTTTATCAAGGTGTAAAGGAGCGGAACACAGGCCTGGAGAGCCAAGAGTTCAGTCAGAGATTCTTCCTGGTCTTCAGAGTGCACGGGAAGCCCCTGCCTGCAGGTGGCTGCTAGAATCTTATCATTTATTTATTTATTTTAAAATATTTTATTTATTTATTTTTAGAGAGAAGGAAGGGAGAGAGAAAGAGAGGGAGAGAAACATCAGTGTGTGGTTGCCTCTCACCCACTCCCAGCCTGGGACCTGGCCCACAACCCAGGCATGTGCCCTGACTGGGAATCGAACCGATGACCCTTTGGTTTGCAGGCCAGTGCTCAATTCACTGAGCCACACCAGCCAGGGCTGGAATCTTATTTCTCATAGAATTTGAGCCCTCGATTGACGATGGAAAGTCCATCACAGCAGGTAAATAAATTCTTTCTCAGGATCCACATGAAACAAACCTTTCTCCTTGGGGTCCATGCATCATAACACTTATCACCATCTGATGTTATGTTTATTGGTTACTTGTTCACCTTTTGTCTCCCAACTTGCACGTTAGCTCCACAAGAGCAGTGGAGCAGATCCAAGTTTTGCACAGACTAAAGTGCATCTAAATCTGGGGTAATTTTTAACAAAAACAGTAACAAATAAGAATATAACATTAGGCATGGAAATGAATGTTGATTTAGAATGAATAGAACAAGTCTTTGGAAGACTTCTCATTAGCCTCACAGTGAATCTACCTCAGAGAGGAAGGGTTTGTTCTGTTTTGTTCAAAGATGTATCTCGAGGACGTAGAACAGTGCCCGGCATGCCATAGGTGTTCAGGAAACGCTTGTGCAATATAAGACTGACCAAGAATACAGAATTGGTTGAATGAATGGACAAAAAGAGGTGGAAACAGTTACATAACTTGCCTCCAAACACAGTGAGTCATGGGAAGAACTGGGCTGAACATTGCTCTGCTCCTCCTCCCTCTCTGGGTTTGTGGCTGCCCAGCTAGACTCCATTCCCAGTCTCCCTTGCAGCCAGGTGTGAGCACAGGGTGCAACTCATGCAAGTAGCTCTGAGCAGAGATCATGGTGCCCCTTCTGAGCCTGAGCTAGGAGGTTGCAGGAGTGTCTCCTCCGTGTTCCCTTCTTTCCACCTGCTGCCTAAAACCAAACATAGTATTGACTCAGTTGGACAAGAACCTGAAGAGGACAGTGGAGCACAACGTAGAAAGAACCAGGGTTCCTGGATGACTGCACAGAGCAGAGCTGCTTTACTGACTGGCACAGTCCATATCTGGATCATGACGTGACAGGGAAGTCATCTTCTTTGTTCCGTCAGTCATGGTATTTTGGGGGCCTATTTGTTACAGCAGCTTAGACTTACACTAGCTGATATAGTCTTCAATACCAGGCTCTTTTCATTGTGCCATCCTGCCATGTAGAAACACTGGAAATAGGAACTTACTTACAGTCAGGCTTGAGAGATGTCTTGTGGCTTTCTCCTGGCTGTTCCTAAAGCCTCTCTTCCCTGACAACAATGGCTGAGTGTCAGGTACTGTCCTAAGTGTTTTCCATGAAATGGCTCCTTTAATTCTTACCTTTTATGTAGATAATTGTATTATCTCTCTTTAAAAGATGAATAAACTGAGGCACAGAATGTTTAAGGAACACGGCTAGTAAGTGGGAGAGCTAGGATCTAGACTCATTCTGGCTGGTCCCATAGCCTGGTTTCCCAGACACCACGCTGTGTCCTGATGCTCTCCTTCTTTCCTCTGCTTCCCCCACCCCCTGTCCTCTGGGCCCTCTCAACACTCCCCATTGTGAGCAGGCCAGTGGGAGCACCAGGTGGTCATAAAAACGAGAAGTTCCTGCCTCTTCTTCTCTGTCAGTTGTTCTACATGTATGTCTCTTTGGTATCTTCTCAGGGTGTTGTGAACTCCAGCATTTTGGGACTGTGGTTTGGTGCGTGTCAGACCGGAGTTCCACCAGGCACACGAGGCACCTTTGAGAGAGCCCTGAACTCTGAGCCAGAGGGTTGGTCTCTGAGTCTGGCTCTGGCTCTGGCACAGGTTTTTGTGTGACCTTGACCATGGCATTCCCCTCTGTGAAGTGACATGCATGGATGGTCTCTAAGGTTCTTCATAACTCTGAAATCTGCCATCTGTGGTTCTTTCCTTCGTCAGCCCACTATCTGCCTGCCGGTCTGCCTTTCTGCGGATGCCGAAGAGCAAAGGTAAGCTCCACATTTGGGGTCTGGGAGGGGCAACGTGTGGCTTGGCTGGACTCAGAGATGCAAAAGGAGAAGGAGAGGATAAGTCAGACTCTGCTGGTCTCCTGGCTGGTCTTGCTGTCCACAGGCTCAAATGTCTCCCAGGCATGCACATGTAAATGACACAGGACTCAAGGGTAATAGCAGGTGCTGGGAAGGTTCCAGGCTTGAAGGAGGACCTTGAACCCAGCTGACCAGCTGGTAATGTGACCTCCAGCCTGGAATCTGAGTTTACCTGTTCATTGAGGTAGACTGCAAGACTCCCAAGAGGCTAACAGATGAGTGTAGCGCCAGTGCCCATGAACTTCTGTCCATTGTGGAAGAAGAAGTGTCCCCCTCAAAGAGCAAGATTGGGCGAGAGGAAGAATTTGAGGATGTGTGAATGAATAAATGAGCGATAAGACAATTCTATTCCTGCCAATGTCTCGAGCAACCAAACAGAGGTTGCACAGTTCTGAAATACATGGGGCATCTTCCAAAGATACTAGGCTCTCCGGGATGGCTGAGGGGGACACCCATCACCACTCCTTGTCGAGCTGGTCATGGCTGGAACATGCCAGGGTGCAGGAGGCCAGGGAAAGCCTTTGATTCTGGCTGTCTGCTAAAATGGGACATTCCTTCCTTCCTGATTTGACCCTAGTTCCCCTTCTGCAAATTACTTGCACAAGGCTGATACGGTATCGGTTCTCGGTTAAGACAGTGGCAGCCGGGAACCATTTGGTCATACTGTGAGCACTGACAAAAGCAAAAAAGAAAAAAAACACGGAAGATACAAAACCTCAAGCTGGGCCCTTGTGGAGAGGAGGATGTCGAGTGCTCGTTCGCTTTCTCAACACTGTTAAGAGAACACCTTGACTTGCATGGCTGAGCAGGTGTTCTCTTTGCGGCAGACCTGAGAGCTCCTTGCCTACTCTGCTGAGTGGGTGGTGCTGAAACAAAAGCTGTAAGGAAGGAGCCAGCATGACAGGAAAGGACGTGAGGGGCCTCCGAGAGATCGGGAGCAGAGGGACAATGACCCAGAGTTCAGAGGTCAGGGGCATCCGAGGGCGCAACTCTGCTTTGTGTTCAGTGAACTTTTCTCTAACAAGAGAGGACGTCTTTGCGGCCACAGATCATTTGCAATTCAAAGAGCAGGGTTGAAAACATGTTCTGTGTGGGAGGCATTCTCAGCATCACGTCCCAAAGACCTCCTGCCCGAGGGAAGTTGCCCCGTGTATTTCAGAACTGTGCAGAAACATGGGTCCCTTGATGCCACCCCTGTCCCTCTCTTCTTTCCCCTTTCTCTTCTCCCTTCCATGCTGTCTGTGTGTCTGTCACCTCAACTCCAAGTGGCCACCTGGAACTTCCCTACTAGATCATGTTTCCACCTCAAATGGGAAACAGTCCCACTCTGGCTTATCCAGAGTCCTGGGATCAGGATGGCTGAGGAGGGTTGTTAAAACGGGGGTAGGATGTGGGGGTTTTGTGGGGGTTCCAGGGACCTCACTCCCCAACCCTTCACGATAAAGGTCAATTGAGAGGGGGAAGAAAACAACGCACGGCCTTATGAGAAATGACGGCTGGGTCGGATGGAGGCTGCAGAGGCTGGCTGAGATTTCAATTATCCTACTGTAATGAAAACTGCACCGCCGTTAGCTGCCGCAGCAGAAGGTACTTACTGGTGGTCCCCTGTGATAGCAGCATCCAGCGGGTCACATGGCGTGGACCGATTCTGCGAGGAGTGGTTACTGAAGCATCTCCTCGTTATCACCCTCCACACAGTCCCGGGGACGCCGCAAATGAGCAGAGATGGTGCTTTTGTGCAACTGAACGGGGAGGTGCCAATGCTAATGTCATGGTGATTTAAGAAGTGTTTTTTTTTTCTCCTACCCTTTTTCTGTGACCTTTCCTGGACTGATTTGAATTTATGATTTTCTGCATGTGTCCTGCAGAGTGCCAGATTTGGGTCAATAATAATAAATAATGAACAGGGTTATTTTCCAAGTACCTGCTATGTGCCAGGCAGGGAACGGCGTGTTTCACAGACACTATCCCTCTGCGCCGGAGACTGTCCCCCAGTGTCTGTCCCTCCCTTCTTCCTTAATCATAGAATCCCAGAGTTCCGGCCAAGCCCACGACTTCGTGCAGTAAGATTATATGGCCCAGCTTCCTTTCTAGCTATGCGTGCTCACGGGGTCAGCGGGACAGGAGCAGAAGTGCTGTGTGCAATTTTCAGGAAACATCTTTAACTGTGGGGAATGTGCCTTTTTGTGTGGTTTTGTTTTTATGCTGACTGGAATGTGGACATGATGGCTGGACATGAGCAGCCATCTCAGTCCATGAGGGTGGAAACCACTCCCTGACAATGATAAAGCAACAGGAAGAAGCTGCAGTCCTTGACGATGGTGAAGGAAAGCTTTGAGGTTTTGGTCACCTGCAGCTGAACCTTTCCTACCAGAAACACCCTGCAGACAGGGAGTAGAATGGGGTGCTAGAGAGTCCGGGCTTTGGGGTCACACACACCTGGGTTAAATCCTTCCCCTTCCACAACTGCCAGCTCCGTGGACTTAGGCAAATTCCTTAACTGCTCTGTGTCTGATCCTTCATTTGTAAAATGAATATAAATAAATGGATTTATTATGTCCCCTTAATGGATTAGGGGACAAATGAAATTATATAATATATTTAAAATTTTCAGCATCGTGTCCTGCACATGGTAAGTGCGTGATGAATGGTAGATATTATTATTCTAATGTTATAGATGAGGAGAATCTCATCAGACTTCACAGAACAAACCTAAGGGAAGTTAATGAGTTCCTCAAGGCTGTGCAGATAAGTCAGAGTTGACCCCGGAAGCCCCCAAGACCTATGATTTTTCCATGACATTGACCTCCACGAATGCCCAGACGTCACCATTAAAGACATGAAGAGCCCGGTTAACTCTTTCTCATGCTTTCTGGTTAACACACCCAGACACACACACACTGTGAAGTCAGGCCTGAACTTGAACCCGAGCTGCACACCTCTGCCTTGTGCTTGGCAGGGTCTCCTGCCGCCCTCTCGGTCTCTGTCCACATTCCCGCGCCAGGCTTCCCACGCATGGACTCTGCTGTGCCGTGAGGTCTCCGATTGTTCCCAGCCCCTTTGTCTCTTCAGATAAGACAACTGCGAGCGTGATCCTGCTGATGGTTTTCGTCTTCACGGACAGGCGGGAAGAGTGTTTGGTAAATTACCAAACAGCAGTTCAGGAGCAGAAGAGAGAAGGCGCACAGGGAAGGCCAGTGTGTCTTTCAGTTTGAAGGGTGGAGACTGCAGTAACTGGAGAAGGGGATAGGGACTATTTCTGATGGGATCATCATCAGGATCAACTGTTTGGCACAGAGACAGCGGGAGGGCTGTGGGTCGAAGACTCACCCCACGGCCGAGTGTGGCGCCCACACCGCATTCTCCGACTGCTGAGGCGTTTTCCCATCCACCGGGAATGCGCGTTGGCAGGTTTCTCTCCCGCCTTCGCAGAGCGGTTGTTGCTCGGTGGCCCCTGCATGTGCTGGGACGACCCTGGCCCGTTTTCCCAAGTCTGGCATCGTGCACGTGACAGTGGCCACTTCCAGACAGAAACCTGTGGCATCCCAAAAAGGGCTGGAGAAACCATCAACTGTGACTCCGCCGCACTTTGACCTAACTGAGTGACGGAGGCAAATCCTTCGGGTTTTATAACATCCGCGAAAAGAACCAGGCTCTCACTGTGAGTGTTGTTCTTCTCTGAAAAGATGTACTTTCACTATTTAAACTCGATCAGAGAATATTCATATTGTGTCTCATGGGTTTTTGTCTTTATATCTTGAAAAGAATGATTATGAGAATGAAGTTTCATGTATCTCAGTTTTAATAGTGTATGTCCCATTGGACTAATGAGCTTCCTTCTCCCTCATCTTTTTCGGAAACTACCTAAAACAGAGGCAAAGGAGAAAGGCAGATGGAGACCAAAATATCACCTTTCCTACTGAGAAAGCTGCCATTGAAGAAAGTGGAATACGGGCAAATGGACTTCTTAATGCTGAGCCCAAGAGTTGGTGGGGCCTCCCGTCCGTCCACAGGCAGAGTCGGATCACCAACAGCTCCACACCGGTGGGTGCAAAGCTTCGCTGCGGTGCCCACTGTGGGTTTGGGAGCCATCTGGATCTGACTCACCGACCAGGTACGGCCCCTGCCACTGCCCCGCCCCCGGGGAGGTCAGGGAGGGCTGCAGGGAGACCGTCGTGCTCACGGGCTCACACCACCAGAAGGGGGCGCTTCAGTGGGAAGAGGCACCTCCTCTCCAACAGCCTTAAATGACAAAGTGCATCGTCGTAGGCATTTTTGATGCATCAACTTTGGTTTCTAACTCTCTTACTTCCTCACTGCCCCTTGGACATTCTAATTTGAGCAAGAGAAAAAGATGCACAGTGAAAGCAGCACTGGGCCGGGTGTCAGGAGACATGGCTGGGGCTGGTGGGTAAGTCCTGTGGGCTTGCTGGTCTTGCTTGCCTGCAGTCCTTGTGCGTGCAGGCTGAGGGTGCAGGAGAGGGCGCTCCCCCTTGCTGCAGTGCCCGTTCTGCGGTCTGGGTCCCCTCCCTCCGTCTCTGGGAAACTCAGCCCTCTCCTGTCCGTACGACTTCCTTTTTCCTCAACTGGATGCCTTCCATGGGTTTTTAGACATTGACAGGTCTTTCCCACTTAGATACAATACATGCGCATGTCCCCCGTTCTTGCCAGCAACATCCCTATCTCTGTACCTTTTTTTTAATTGAAAAACTTTAAAACGTTGTCAGAGCGTACTGTCTCTGCTCATGCACCCCTCAAAGCAGCCTGGCTTCTGGCTTCTCGCCTTATGATGTCACCCAAGTCTCTCTCACCAGGTGGCCGATGATCTTCTGCAGCGCAGTCCAAGGGATACATTTGTTCTCGTAGTTGACTTCTCAGCCTCAGTGGACAGTGCTCCCAGTTCCTGGTCTCCAGAAATCTGGTTTCCCTTTGTTTTCCCAACACAATACTTCCTGGGTGGTCTGCCTTCGAAGGCTCATTGTCTCCTTGTGAGCTGTATCTTGGGATTCTGCAGTCCTTAGGTTCTCTCTAGTTTTTACTCCGTTCCCTCTCAGTGAATGAATGATTAGACAATCAGCTTATTCATTCAGTACACTTTTATGAGCACCTGTTACACAGCCGCGGCACTGACTAAGCCTGGGGAATTCAACAGTAGGAAAAAAATCTCATCTCTGACGGAGATGACATTCTAGTGGGAGATGAGAGTCAAAGGAATAAGTAAGTAAGTACATGATGTATCAGGTGGCAGTAAGTGCTATGAAGAAAAATAAGTCGGGGTGAGGGGATCTGTGTGTGTGTGTGTGTGTGCCTGTGTGACGCTAGAATTACGTAGACCGGTCAGGGACGGCAAAGCCTGGAAAGAAATGAGTGACGAAATTTGGTATCAGAGTACGGTTGCCCACATACAAGTTAGGAGCTGTTTCATTCCTCGTCTATTGTTCTGCAAAAGTTTTCAAAGAATTGGTGTTAGTTTCTCTTTAATTGTTTCGTAGAATTCACCTGTCACCTGGCCCTGGCCCTTTCTTCCTCCGAGCTGTTGGATTCCTGATTCAGTCTCCTTACTTGTCGGAGGTGGGCTGTGATTTCCCGTTTTTTCGGGAGTTAGTTCAAGCGACGTGCGTGTCTCCAAGAGTTTGCTGTTTCATCCAGGTCGCCTCATCTGCTAGAGTACATTTATTCAGAGCGTTCTCTTCTCATCCCTTTTGTTTCTTGAGGGTCGGTTGTGACGTCCCCACTTTGATTTTGCTGTTGTTCTTTGTCAGTCTAGCCAGAGGTCTGGGGCTGTCTGAGGTGCGGGCTGAGCCGGTGTGACCTCGTGGCAGAGCGCTCTGGACGGGGTGTCGGGGTGTCGGGTAAGACCAGCTCACCAGGCGCTTCTTCCAAGCGCTTTCCCCAGATGGCGAGCTAGCGCCTCGGATTGTTATTCTCCCTTTCCAGACGAGGAAACCGGGGCACAGACAAGAGAGAATTTCCCCGACAGCCCAAGGCTGACATGAGCAGAGCCAAGGCCGCCCCCAGCGCGCCGACCCCAGTGCCTCGTCGGCCCCTCTGAACTTTCACCTTCCACAGTCTGCGAGTTCAGGACGAGGAATTATTTATCGTCACCAATATCAGTGAAATAAAACCTCATGTCAGAAATCTCAGTATAGAGAGCATTTTTCTTTTTTAGAATTATATGAGAACGCTGTCATTTCCAACTTGGGGTAACAAATGGTACAATCACTCACCACCTAATTTTACTCCCCAGCTGGTTCCAGGTTATTAATAACTGCAGCTGGACCATCCCTAATACATTTGGCTTTCTTAATAACCTCCAGCTACCTTCCAATATATGCCATTTCAGAACATGGTTTTTTCCCCAAGTATTTTTTTTTCCTTCCCGGGGAAACAAAAACACGTTTTCACCATACACTATCCATATGCTTCCGATTTAGTTCTGCTCAGATCTCAAAAATGTCGCTTGGTAAGAGCTGTTTCATTCCTTTTCAAACTCTCTTGAATAGGAGTTCCTTAACATTTCCTTCCTCTTGAGCACGGAGAGGGATTTCGCGAAGGGAAAGAATAACCTGATATCAGCACAACTGGATGGGTTCAAACCGAAGCCAACGTCCTGGGAGGGCCTTGGGGAAGCGTGCTTCCTCCTCCAGGGCGACGGCAGGGGGTGACTCAGAGCCTCCGGGCAGCGGAGAGCTCAGGGCTAGGACGCCGCCGGCTACGGAGACACGGGAGAGATGTTAATCATTGGCCCTTGCTACATGCCCCACAGTGGAGCATTTAGAAAAAAAAGTGAGTAGGAGAAGATATTTCTCCTGCCGGCTTGAGCTTTAAAAAGAAGAAGGAAGTAGGGGGTGAATGAATGTTTGTAAGCTGAGGCATAAGTCAGAGGGGGAGGAAATGAGACCGGGCGGGCGGGAGGGCGGGCGAGACACAAAATGCTGACGCTGAGGATCCTCCGTGACCTCAGGATGACCCAGAAATCTCATCGGTTTCTGCAACAAAGGCCATAAAATATGCCTTGTGCTAAGAGTGAGTTTTGTCAAGAAAGCATCGGCATTGCGTGAAATCAGCAGAATTAGGAGTGGTGCCAAGTAGGGATCAATTTCCCTTCATCCATCCACCCATGCATCGTTTGTCCATCCATCCACCCTTTCATCCATCCATGTGTGCATCTATTCATTTATCCATGTATCCATGCATCCATCCATGCATCCATCCATCCATCCCACTATCCAGCCCAGAAACATTGAAGAAGGCAGGCAGGAAGGATAGAAAGAAATGGAAATTAAATTCTACTGATCACTCACTATGCCAGTAATAGCACATAGGCTTAAGCTCAGGGCAATGCTGATTGATCGGTAGTAGGTAGGCCTAGCACACTGTGTTGAGAAGGATTCTGAGGTCCAGTCTGTCCTCTCTAGCAAAGAATGTTGGAATCAGTTCAGGTATGGGCACGAAAATAGTGTCAGCAGTCACATACTTCCTCCCATGCCCCCAGCCCAGGGCTGGCTAGACGGAGGAGACAGAGGAAGGCTTAGCCTGATAGGTGGGCAGGAGTGAGAAGGGCTGGGCATGGTTAGGAGGCAAGGGCAGGTGTGAGGAGGGAGAGCGTGGGGTGGGCAGCGCCCCCTCCCTGCTCTGGGCCCGGCCCTGCTGTCCACACTACCTTGACTCCTTGAGCCCCTGTTCCTGCACTCAGAAAGTGAATGCCTCCCTGGCTCAGTGGCTGAAACAATGGGAACTCCAAAGTGATAACGGGCGAGCCAGACAGTCCCGATTCCTGACTCCACCACTGAGATGCTCTCGGCCCTGCCAGCCTCCTTCCGAGCCTCGGCCGTCCCACCTGTCAAACAGAATAAAAACACCGGCCTTCCAAGATTGCAGGGAGGACTACACGTGACCCCAAGGGCCAGGCCTGTAGTGACACTTCCTAAATGGTTTATATTCTTATAAAAGTGCCCTTGCCTTCAAACTGGCATGCTTATGGGCACAAAAGGGAACGGGAAGAAACCTAGGGTGACAGATGAGACATACGCAGAACCCGCTGATCCCTGGGATGAGGAGATGAGGAGCAAGTGGCCCCTCTGGAAGAGGTGGGGGATTTAAACCAAATATTTGAGGACGAACGGGAGAGTGACTTCTCTTCCCCAGCTATAAACTTGGAACGCTCCTCCCTTTTCCTGGTGTGGGCTTCCGTGTTCTTCAGAGCAGGGGCCTGTAGTTCCGAGCAGTGGGCGAGAGAAAATCTAATTGCTGCCCACGCAACAGTGACTCAAGACCCTGATCTTTTCCGGATCGACCTCGAGCAAACCCACGAAACCCTGTGCCCCGCGGAGGAGAGCTCCCGGGGAGCACTGTGAAGGCTGCGGGGCTGGCTGGCTGGCTGGCGGGGGGGAGGTGGGGGCTCCTGGGGCTTGGGACGAAGGTGACCTGAAGATGAGGAAACGCTGCAGACACAGCCACGCCACCAGAAGGAACCAAAACACCACGAGGAACCCCATTTAGTAGACCACGGAAAAGTCCTCTTTGTTGTTTGAAATTTTTATCTCGTTTGTGGCAAGTCTAATCATTTAGCAACGACCACAGCTGTGTTCAGTCCTCTGGGTTTTCCCCGAAGCTTTACCCCCTCTTTAGAGGAGGGACAAGACCAGCTGGTCAGGCCACCTCTTCCCGGCTCCCTTTCCAGTGTCTGAAATGTGTTTGCAACAGGCGGAGCGTGGAGCGGCCGCCCAGAGATTTTATCAGGTTCTTAGGACTCCAATTCCGGTGGGAGGAAGCAGAGTCAAGCTAGCTGCTCGGGTTCATGCACAAGGCATTTCTGGGCATGCAGTTCAGCTCTATTTATCCTGCTGTCGAAATGAGTCCGAAAGAGTCAGATGGTTTCTCATTTTCATCCTCGCTATGGTAATGACAGAGAATCATGGAGAAGATTCAGGTTTCCCAGACTCTGCCAGGGGAACAGTCACCATTTGTCAGTGACCAGTTTCTCACCTCTGAAGGCCTCTGGTCAGTGTCTCCCTACTGAGTGCTCCCGGGGGACCCTGAGCCAGAGAGCAGCAAAAAGAAGGGAAAGCAAGGCAAGGTGGCATGCTTCAGCAACCACTGCAGAGTGGCCGGCCGGGGCAGGGGCACTGCTTGCTCCGCACAGCTGCAGAGTGCTCCCAGGCTGGCCTGGGTGTGGCTCCTGAGGGGTGGCCCGCTGGGTTCTGGCACTCCGATGTGCTGGTGTCTACAGAGCCTAAGGAATGAGGACGTGGTGGGGGGCGGGGAGATGCACTCATGCATTGATGGATCTATTTGTTGATTCATCCATCTAAACTGTTTTTTATGCACTGCCTCTATGTGGGTGCTGGGGGTATGGAAACAACACATTGGGTTTGTGCCTTCCGGGGCTCACAGTCTTGTGGGCAAGATAGGCCAACATGCAAATAAGTCTAGAAACGTCGGCAGGATAGCGGGAGTGCGTCGGGTGCCCCGCTTGGTGTGGAAATGTTGAGAGCGCTGATCTGGAAGGGTGAGTCAAGGGTGCCAAGAGGGTGGAGGGGCATGCCAGAGGAATGTCTCCGGGTTGCGAAAGAGCATCGCCTGAGGACAATGGCAAGGCTGGAAAAGATTTTAAGGAGGGAGTGAGAGGCAAAGAAGGCAGCGGGAACCATCCGGTTCTCAACATCTGGCTGAGATTCTGGTTTCTCAAGAGAGGACTTTTTTCCTTCCCCTGAACTCTGAGAAACGCTGGGGTCTTTGTGTCGGGATCACCTCACACCATCTATACACCAGTGATTGGGCTAGGGAGACTTGTTTCTCCAGGCCAGACGCAGGAAGCTATTTCTTGCTGCTATTTCTTGCACAGACCCTTGAAACAGCCTGAGGACTTCGTGGACTATTGTGATTCTTACCCTTTATGGGGTCAGGGCTCTGTCTTCCTTCCACTGGAGAATGGAAAGAATGTCTTAAAACAATCTCCCTGGAAGATACACATAATTTTGCATAAAATTTCAAGGGTTTCCAGAACCATCCCCCCTCCCATGCCCACTCATACAGTCCAGGAGAAACGGTCCCCACCTGGTCGGGCAGGGCAGGGGGCCAGGGGACTGGAACGATCCAGTGGAGACCCAGAGGGGCAGGGTGACCCCGACCTGGTGTGGGCATTCGGCTCAGACTCCTGAGAAAGAATGTCACCAGGCGGGCAGCCCTGCAGTGTGCCCTGATCCGGGTCAGGCGAGGGTAGGTAGTGCCGACCCGCGCCCTTTGCCCAGACTTCTTGTGGCCCAGTGGTCTTGGACCGGGCCCGCGCAGCTGCAGCTTTTCAGCTTGGCGCGTGTTATATCAGCACAAGCTTAGCCGCTTGTGCTGCATTTAAAAAGCTAAAATACATGCAAAAAATCCATGATGAATAAAATTTCAACATGTTCAATAAAGATGGAATGTAATCCTGTACATGCCCCACTTTCCTCACCCTCATCCCAGCCCTCGGCTTTGCAGCCAAGTGTCTGCTTGAACGTCCCAGGCTTGCATTTGAGCAAGACTTTGAATTCTCGTAAATTAGTGCCTGGACACAGTTATTTCTTGTGGCTGTCTAGGAAAGGTCTCAGGCAGTGTGAATGAACACGGCTCCTTCTCCATTTCTGTTTAGCTTCAGCCAGCCTGCCTGCCAACCTGCGCCCAAAGCTTATGTGTTGGCAGTGACCCAAATGTTCCACCAGGTGGCACTCTTGCTCCAACCAGGTACCCCTGAAAGCCTCTTAGCCAAAGTAGAGATTTAAACCAGTTGCTAAAGTGTTGCCAGCTGTTTGTTTTGATAGGCCAGAAAGAATCCTTGAGCAGGCACTGGGGTAATCAGAGATGAGGTAGGAAGAGGATTGGAGGAATAGTCTGGAGGGTAGAGGCTGCTTCCTAACAGGCCGTGCTGCTCTTCAGCAGGTGAGGAAAATGAGAATTTTAAACCTCCTTTTGTCCTCAGAGGCCATGTAAACACACAGGACAGGCGAGAGAAAAGAGAGATTAATGGGTTTCCGTGGAAGCATAGCCTGCTGGGAAGAAGCTCGGGCACTTACCTACAGTGCCAGCTCCGCCCCTTACTAGCTGTGACTTTGGACAAATGACTGGGCTTTGAGAGCCTGTGATTCTTCCTCTCTCGATGAGATTATTGCAGCTGCCCTCCTGGAGGGCTGTTAGAGGGTTAAGTAAGTTGAGGCACGGAAGGCTCTGTGCGTGGTGCGGGCACCAGTAAGTGCTCAACAAAGGAAAGGTGTTACGAGGGACTTCCGGGCTAGGCAGCTAGATTGTGTAGCCTCCCTCAGCTGGTGTATTAATTAAGGAGATGACCTCAGAGTGACCTGGAGAAATACCTTGATAATGAACCATGGCTTCCGTGGAGTCAACCAAAAGAATTTCCCACCAGGATCGAGTTTCACAGGTGTGATTTCTGAACCAGGAAATTAAGCTGGGTCCTCCAGCAGAACTGTCTCACCCTGCGTGACTTGGGGGGACCCTTGGCCACCAGGTGACTGACCCTATTTAAACTGTGCACTGTTGTGGAAAGTATCCCCTTACGCGGATGGGTATCAGAAGCTTCCCATTCATCCACTCTGTCTCCTTCAGATCTGAAATCCTGAACCCACAAAGATGCTCCAAGCTAACTTCTTCAGTAAGAGTGAGGCTGGTAGGGGTTGCTCTTTATTGAGGCTAAATATCAGTCACTTCACATACACTGTTTCATTTATGCCTTGAAACCATCTGCAGGGGGAATCCAATCCACTTTACAGACAAGTAAGTTTAGGGTTAGGGAAAATTAATACCTCATAAAGACTTTTTCAGCCAGTAATTGAACTGGTATAAACTTGGGCCTGCCTGACCTCTAAACCACTCAGTCTATCTATCTATCTATCTGACTATCTTCTATCTGTCTGTTATGTATTTGATATGTTAAATACAAACTATTCTGACTACTAATTAAAGCAAGTTCCTCAGAGACCTCTAGGGTTTAGGGAAATCTTGGGCTTCCATTGAGGCTTCTTTCTTGATAACGTAGAGATGTATTCATGGCTGGGTCTCTGCAGACACATACACAACACGTAGATGCGATATTTTAAGTATGGTGCACTTACCCCGAGGCTCCATAACCCTGACTACTGTTGCCTCCGCGTCGGCCACACTTCTGGGAGTCCCTGGAGAGAGGGTTTTGCTCTACACCCACTCACCCCGCGGGACAATCAAACAATGTTCCTCTCCCTCGGCACCGAGCTCCCTCCGCTGGCACAGGAAAAGCCGATTGACCAGGATGGCCTCACATTTCCAGGGGAAGTGACTGAGCTAGACAGAAAGTGTCAGAACAAGACCGGTTTGACCTGGCTGCAAAGGAGGAGCACAAGGACAGGCGCTATCATCCCAAAGGAAAGACATCGCCCACTGGCCATCGGTGGAGGGATCTGGGTTTCCAGTTCCTAAGACAGCTGCCTGTCAAACGGCGTCGAGTCACGTGGGGAGCCAGGGTGGATCAGTGAGGGTTCCCACTTACAACACACGTGTCCCCCCAGTTCAGTGCATTTCCTAAGTTCGTATTGTAGCGCAACTCGGATTAGTAACATTTCTCCCTATTGTAGGAGGTTCAGGGAGAACCTGCTTTATCCCAATATGTAGGTTTCAATTAGGTAACCAGAGAATAGGTTCTTCTCCAGGACTTAAAAACTGTTTTGTCAACTTATTTCAACGAAAATATGATTGCTTTCATTTATTTAGTAACTTTAAAAAGTCACTTCCCATTTATATTATTGGACATTGATTTGATCTTAAATGTCAATGAGGTTTATGGGTTAAGATAGAAAAAAACAATGTTTCTCTTTTGCACGGAAGTCTTTTCATTAAAATTAAAATAAGCCAAAGGAGTGCAATAAAATATGAAATCCCTGCAAGTTCTTAGGAACACAGGTACAGTGAAAGATATTGTGCATTCCTAAACGGCTGCATGTGGAGATCAAGGGAGGCCTCCCGGAAGGGACCTGGTATCCGTGTTTCTTCTCCCCGTCCCTGGCACAGGGCTCACACACGGGCTGTGCTCCACGCGTGTTTACCGACTGGGGCTGAAGTCCAGCACGCGGACTCGCCTTTATTTGGTTCCTGGAGATGAAAAGGCCCCCCCGCCCCACCCCCCACACACAGGTCTTCTGCACTTCCAGCCTCGGTCGGCGCGAGTTCCCTCCGCAGAGGGCCCAGCACAGGAGCCTGGACACACGGCTACCTCCAGGGGGGTCTGGGTCGGGGGGCAGGGAGCACTGGTCCCCTCTGCCCGCCTGGTTCCTGAGGGTGGGGGGAAGGACCGGCGCCTGGGCGGCGCTGCGGGTCAGACCGAGTGCGGTGCGAGCCCTTTCATTGCGCACAGATGACTGCGCCGCGGGAGCTTCCTTTATTATCCAGTAGGAGCACATAGGAGTCTTGTTTATTTATCTCTCTCCCAATATAGCGTATTTCTATACATATACAATGTAATAACATTTACCTTAGTATATCTGTATACTTATTATTCTTCTAATACAGCGTATCAGGAGCTTTATTTCTTATTCTCCCATTGGATCCTCACAGGGAGGTGAAGCCACGCCCATCACTCACTGCACCTCCGTTCACAGAGGGGGAAACCGAGTCCCACCGCGTCGATAACCAGCCCGGGAGAAGGGCCTCGTGTTCACACCTGGGACTTCGGAATGGAGGCTCCTGACCCGGGGCCAAACTTCCTTCCCAGCAGCGGGGACCCATGCAGACCGCGGAGGAACCGGGGCTCGGCCTGCATGGCACCAGGGGCGGCGGTGACTTCGTGAACGCGGCCCTGCGGGGGACTGGCCGATTTGGCAGGCAACCCGCCAAGGACAAGAACGTGAAATGGACGTCTCATTGAACAATTTCAGGTTTGAATATTTCCTTCCCTCCAAATCTCCCCACTGAAAAGTCCTGGAGGTGAAGAAGACTGCAGAAGAACCGTCAGGATGGAAGATATTAATTCTTTCTGTTGCATTTCTTTTAAAAGGCCGTATCTAACCCTCCCTGGATCTGCTTACGCCTCCCAGAGGAAGACGAGCGAGTCTCAGGCTCTCCCACCAGAAAACCGTTTCCACCGGTCAGAAGAGCCAAAGGGTAGTACTGAGGTTCTATTTACACCCTCACGAAGACACATTCATTCCCAAGGTCGGCACCCATTCCCTTTCACCGACCCTGATGGCATGTCCATTCACTGCCTTTCGATCTGGCTGGGTGACCCCGGGAGTTGCCACTGATGCCTTGTCCAGACACTCATTTCCTGCCCCCCCCCCCCCACTGTGTCTGGAGGACGAGTGAGTGTGCTCCCTGCGCATCCTGGTTCCTGAGTGGGGATCGGGTGCTCAAGACGGGGTCAGGTTGGAGGGGTCCGTGGGACAGGCATGAAAACAGGGCCTGTGGTGACGTGTGACAGGCAGAGTTCTCTCTCTCTCCAGGAACTTAGTAATGTGTTCAGAGATGTCCAGGCCACTGTCACCTGGGTGCCTCAGTGAGGGGCCCGAAGAGCACCCATCAGAAGCTTCCTTTTACACCAGGAAGCTCTCCTGTTGAACCCAGCTCCTGGAGGACTCCTAATTCTAAGGCTTTCTTCCTACATGCCAGGGAGACCCAGGTTTTCAGCTGATCCAAGAAAAAGCCCCCTTTGAGGACTCGTGGACGTGAATGACAGTGTGGGGACTGCGGGACTGGGGGTGGAGGTGGAGGAGGGTAAAAGGGAATTCAATGGCAATGGGCAAAATACAATTTAAAAAAAGAGGAAATGGCTCCTTTGATGCTAAAAGGGGGAGCATTTAAGTTTCCAGGTGGCTTCATGCAATTGTCTCCCCGAGGTCCGACAGGGTGGAGGGAGCAAGGGCTCTGTGAACAGAGCTTCCACACGGCACAGCCGTCGACTCCCTCACTGGCTCTCAGCAGGTCGGGGATGTGCCTTGAGGAGACTTAGGGTGCTTCCTGTGCAGTGTGAAGGGCCTTACAAAAAACGACTTTTCTGAGTGTCCAACCCTTTCACTATCTGGAGATCACCTTTTGTTTTTTGGAGTCTTTGTGTATCGAGCTTGCATTTGCTGCCTTCGGGGAGTCTCCCGGTGTGAGTTTCTTAGGGCCCTAACTCAGCCCCTCCTCTGGGTGCAGGAACAACGGAACTGGGCTATCTCACCATCTGGAAGCCGTAGCTCGAGAGCAAAGTGGCGATGGGGCGGGTTCCTTCTATGGGTGGCGGGTGGCGAGGGATCTGTTCCTGGCGTCTGGCGGCTTGCTGGCAATCTTTGGCACCCCAGGCTTATAGGTGCAGCGCCTGGATCTCTGTTGTGGTGTTTACCCCGCACCCTCCCTGTGTGCGGGGCTGTGTCTACACCCCCTGTTCTGTGAGGATGCCAGTGCTGCTGTACAGGGGCTCACGCCACTCCAACATGACCTTATTTTAACTAACGCCATCAGCAATGACCCTACTTCCCAATGGGACCCTACACATTCCCCAGTAATGGGGTTAGGGCTTCAGCAGACACACACTCGGGAGGGGGCACAGTTCAGCCTCTCGCTCCACCTGAGGCACCTCTGCATTGCTGGCTGACACCAGAGACACGGACACCCTCCTGCTTCCTTCCAGTGCCAGGACGCTTGGGCCTGGGGACAAAACTGACATCACCTGGAGTGCTTTTGGGGGAAAAACCCACAAACCCGGATGCCCACCAGGACTGCCCCTAGCAGAGCCTGCATGAAGGATGTCCACTGGAGCTCCCGTCCAGCGTGGACATGCTGGACGAAGGGATGTCCCCCGTCCCCAGAAGGACGGAGAAGCGCGGTGCACAATTTAAAACTTATACATTGTTCATGTCTGGAATTTTCCATTGAATATTTTCGTGGGTCACTGAAACTGCAGATGAGGGGGCGACTGTGAGTGTGCTCCCAACAGTCCTCCCAACACTGTGAACCTAGGTTTGCTGCGCCGTTCCCGGTCGGCTGGGCGCGGTGAGGCTCATGCTGTGCTCCCGTGTGCTGCTGACCCCCGCATGCCAGTGTTCCCTGGTGTGCAAGAAACCGTGAAGAATGATTCTTTTTTGGTGATCTTAAATGTGCAGTTTGAAATTCTCCACCACAGAAGTGGACTTCTCTTCCACTGGTTCCTGAACTCTGCAGGCCGTAACCATGGCCTTCCTGGTGTGGGATCTGTGCCCATGGAAACCACACCCCTGCCTCACGTGGCCACCGCCCCAGGGGGGGAGTGGCCTGCAGCAAGAGTGGGAAGAGCAGTCCCATTCCCGAAAAAGTGTCCACTCTCGTCAGGCACAGCCCGAGATGACAGGGAAAGCATGAGGTCACTACCGGCGGGAGACAAGAGAGGACACTGGCCAGCTAAGTCCTTCGGCATTGAGACGGGACAGCTGGGAAAGTCACCTGGAGAGACTTTGGAGCTTGCGGGGGTGGGGGGCCATCCTATGTGTCTGCCAGGGCCAAGGTCCCCCTCAGGTCTAGGGACCTGGGTGGTCTGAAAGCCAACGTGTGAGAACCATGCAGGGCCAGCATGTGTGTCTCAAGTGGGGGAACAGTGGGTGGATATGAGTGGTTTCCCCAAATCAGGAGTCAGCACCACTGGCAGCCTGACTTCTCCTGCAAGAAACCATGGGCCAAGCAGCAGGAGCGACCCAGGCCACCCTCCTGGAACCAATCCAGCTGCAGGGGTCCTGGTGACTCCCTAGGTGGGAGTCACTGAACTCTGAGGGCACCAGCCTCCCGTCCCCACTCAGGGCACCCCACGGGGTGACCCTGACAGCGCCCCAAAGTGCAGAGCTGGGGTGTGCTGCACTGCCTCCCTTCCCGGTCTAAGGGCCACAGTGATACCCACACCCCTGCTGCGGAGGCTCTGACCTACTGGGCTGGAGGCCCGACTCCCCCACCTGCCGGATAAAAGCTGCCCCAGGTGATTCCAACGTGCAGCCACAGTTGAGGGCAGGCGATCCAGCCCACTGATTCATAGACCGCCTGCACGCTGGAAGCACCTGAGAGGTTTAATGAATGCCAGGTAACACCTGGACGCCACACCCAGCGTTTACTAATTGGTCTGGAGCGTAACCTGGCGTGGGGATTAGGGAATCATTACCTTTCACCTGAGGTGGCTTTTTAAAACTTCGAGTGGTGCCCTGCACCTGACTGGCTATCAACTGCACCTTCAACTACATACTGGTTTGGCAGAAGAGTTCACTTGGTCCACGCGACCACAGCTGTGTGTGGCCCCCAGGGGCCCCCAGGGGCATCTTCCTCCGATGGGGCGGTCAGCGAAGACTGAAGGCAACGAGGACGAACTTACTTCCAGGAGCGTGTTTGAGAAACACTGCAGCTACAGTCGGTCAGACCAGGTCAACTCGCCTGCATGTGAACCTGAAAACTCACTTGTACGTTCAGAGACAAAGCTCCGGTCTCCAACCCTCTTCTAAAGGCTTTCTCGCCCTCACGCTGTGTCCGGACTGCCTCTGTCTTACCCGAGGGGCCAACACAGAGCACCTTCCTCCACGGAGGGTCGATTTTATGACAGCGTATGTTTGGAAAGTCAAATGATCTTACTGACTAGCATTAATGTCAACACATATGAGACTGTTATAAACCACAATGCATAATTTGTACTTCAGAAAATGAAAATATCTAAGAAATTTCATGCAGTCGAAAGTGATATGTCAGTTACAGCTCAATTAAAAAATAACGTCATGCTTGTACCGGATACTTCCGACTAGCCCTCCAGTCTCTCCCGTCTCCTGTTACGAGTTATTTTGTTAGGAAAGTTTGGGACCTACAGAGACTATTGGGTTCAACTGGCTTCCCCGCCTGTGATCGATGACCTTGAATATGCTTTCCCCCTGGTAGTGGTGTTCTTTGCTCATTAGGGTACCTGATGCCCTCCTATGTGGGCCTTAAAACCCACTTAAAATCCCCCATCCTCTGGCCTGCCTTTGTTTACCTCCCATTTAGGGGTTATCCCCGCCTTCTCTGTACTGTGCAGAGTACACAACTCTACCTCTACCCTTGTTTCACGTTAGTGTATTTACCTGTTTGTGCATTTCTTTCATCTGGGAGACTGGATACTCTTCCAGGGCAGGAATTACTTTTATTCACTTCTCTTCCCAATGCTTCGCCGGGCGTCTGACATAGAACAGATCTCAGTAAGAGTATGCTGATTAAAAGCAATGGCTTTTTTACTTCTTCAAAACTAACTGAAAAATCCGAAATGCTCCAGGTTGCTGCTACTTGAAATCTAAAAGGAGATTGTTCATGTTTTTTTTTTCCCCCCCTGAATCAGCTGTGTGACTCTGAATGTGTGTCCAGAAAATACAGGAGCTGCCTGGCAGGGGCCTCCGGGAGGGGCTGCCACTAGATCCTGGCCCCTTGGGGAAAGAGAGAGAGGAGGGCATTGAAGGAGGGACCATCCGGCAGCTGGCCCAGCTGTGGGGCCTGCGGCCTCCGCCCTCCTCTGCCCCTCCCAGGCCCTTTGAACAGCTCTGTACTTACAGCCACTTGGACAAGCCCTGGCATTGTTTGCCTCTGGTGTAGGGTCAGAGGCCTTATAGGAATGGCATGATTCTACTTCCTTAAATAGTGACTAGGGAATGAAATGAGTAACCGTGTCTTTAATTAGCCATACCCCGGAGGCCGGGAGGGGGCTGGTAAATGGTGGGCTCCCAGCCAAGATCAGCATTGCACGGCTGGTACTCAGTCCAGAGAGACTTGGTGGGATGTTTTATTTGCCTCTTTGCACCCCCCAGCCCCCATCAAGCTGTCCTGTCAGCCCCGCCCCTTCTGCCATCCTCTCAGCCTGATGGGTTGCTCAGGGTTGACAGAAGGCACAGAGGGAGGAAAAAGGCTAGTGGCCATCTCTCAGCATCTCTCCTGTGCCAGGCTCTGGGCCAGACACTGGGAACAGAGCCGTGGGGGATCAGAGAAGCTCAGGATGTGACCCAGTGAGAGCATAACCCCTGTTGTCCTGGCCCAGAGCAGCGAGCAGCAAAGAAAGAGGCTCCCAGGGACCCAAAGATCTTTCAGAATAATTCAAGTCCCTTACTTAAATTAATGACAGAATGGAAGAACAAATAGCATCCTCATGGACAGCCCAGACCTACCTTCCCTCCATATAACCTCTTCCTTCTCCAGCCACTTCCACACAGCCAGTGGGAGCTGCCTGGCTCTCTGTCTCCAGACCCTCAGGAACCGCCCCGACCTAGGGGCAGGACTAGACATCCTAGAGAAAATATTTTTC